TCAGTATTGTTTTAGTAGGTACGCTCTCTATTCGGTTCTTTTAACGATTTTTTAATTATACTGCAATTAAAAAAAATTTTATTAGTTTTATTAGTTGCCATATTCATTAGTCTTTTCCAAGGATTTTTCTAGCATTGCCTTCCTTTTGAGATGCAACAAACTTTAATAAAAATAGTAGCGGGATTTTTCCGTGTAAAGAATGCTATATTTTATTGCAAAGTATGCTATATTTTTAAAATAAAAAATTCTCGTTGTATACTAACAAAGTTATAAAGAAATAAAGAAATTGCAGTCTAAATTTCTTGGAATGAAAAGAACGAATATTTTTATTCAAGCAATAATAAAAATATTCCCTTATAAAGCCCTATTAATATTTGTCACCTATCTTGTAGGGCCCTTGTCTTTCTATTCCTACTAGGGCCCGATTAATGTTGGGGAAAAATAATCAGGCCCTTAGCAGAGCCTTATTCTACTCGGCTTGGTCACGAGCACGATCGGCGCGCGGAAAAAAGTTCACGCTCGCGAAATATCGCGTATCACTGGAAATCTTGATTTTCCACGCGAAACGCACGTCACTCGAGTGCATTCGGCCATGGAATCACACTCGGGCGGTGTGGTGGTGAAATCCACGCGAGAAAACCGCGATCGCAAATCATCAGCGCTATTTCATTCTCGCATCTACGTCAGAATATCTCTATCTTCTGGCCAATTCGCCCGACACACGGGACGATATATATATATATACACACACACACATACAATATACAGGGTGCCAAATTTCAAACGTAGCAGGTAAAAAAATCTCGAAAACTATGAAAGATATTAAAAAAAGGTAAAACACGTGTTCCATGATTTCGAAGGGGAAAGAGAATGGCATTATCAGTTTTTTATGTGGAGGGCATTTTCAAGGTCAGAGTTGAAGGTCAATTTAATTTTTTAAAATAGAAAGCTCAATTTTTTATCATATCTTCTTTTTCTACCAATTAATTTTAACAACTTTTGTCTGAAATAGATTGTTTTATTTGCCTAATATTTTTTGAAATATTTCAGGAAAACTTGGTAACTTTTTCAACATTTAACTTACGATATCTCGCTAACTATTCGTCGAAAGAAAAAATAGTATTAGACTTTTTTACTTTATTTACTATCAAGAATACGTTGCTATAATAGTGCCCTAACTTTTGTTAACTTATCGACTTTTGGAAATTTCAAAATTATTAAATTAACAAAAGTTAGGGCATTATTATAGTAATATATTCTTGATAGTAAATAAAGTAAAAAAGTCTGATACTATTTTTTCTTTCGACGAATAGTTAGCGAGATATCGTAAGTTAATGTTGAAAAAGTTACCAAGTTTTCCTGAAATATTTCAAAAAATATTAGGCAAATAAAAAAATCTGTTTCAGACAAAAGTTGTTAAAATTAATTGGTAGAAAAAGAAGTTTGATAAAAAATTGAGCTTTCTATTTTAAAAAATTAAGTTGACCTTCAACTCTGACCTTGAAAATGCCCTCCAAATAAAAAAACTGACAATGCCATTCTCTTTCCCCTTCAAAATCATGGAACACGTGTTTTAGCTTCTTTTAATATCTTTCATAGTTTTCGAGATTTTTCTTACCTGCGTTTGAAATTTAGCACCCTGTATATACGCTCTCGTGCTCTCTCGCTCATATTTAGCTGCACGAAAGTTACCGCGAGCGCTTAGCCCATAGATATATGTACATATATCCTCCCCCTGGACTTCAGGCCGATTGTAGTAGCGATTAATCGTTGCGATTGAATCATGCATACGACTCGGATATACGACGATATGCGATAATACAGAGAATCGGTATAACATTACTTTCGGAATTCAGCAATCGATAGCCCCGATATCCCCGAGATTATTCGCGGGAGCGGAAGCTCGCGAATGCGACTGTTGTGCGATGCAACTGCGCGATTGTAACTGCGACAGTTTGCCTCGTTCGTTGTCACGTTAATTCAGTCAATTCTTTGCCCCGCATGCGACACCGCCGCGACAGCGGAGACGTCGCGGTGAAATGTGTGCGCGATAATTTTGCAGCGATAACAAAAACGACGTTTACACGCGAAACACGATCGAGGAGCAACGACGACTCATTCGGTGGTGCTCGTCGCGAGCTTATTAAAAAGTGACGACCATTCCGCTCCGATCGCGGAGAAATAGATTAGACGCCGCCCGCGCGGTACGTAACTTCCAGCGCAATTGTCCTAATTAACTCTGCTCCTCGCCCCCCTTCCCCTCCCCCCGCTCATTCCTCGCATGCATGATTCAATTAGATCGTCGCAAAGAAACTTCACCGCCTCTTCTACTCGAATTCTTCCAAGTGTCGTCGACACTCATCGATTATTACTCACCGGCCGATTAATCGTCACCGCAATCGGAGGGAGTTCGCGCGTATTTTGCAAAATGCGCGCGTCCGCGCGTCCACGAGGATTTCCTCGGGAAATTGCTCATCGCGAATTTTCCCCTCTCTTTACGGCGTCTTTTACGAGCCGGTCGTTTCTCGAGCGATATCTTGAACATTTACAATCCGTTTTCTTTCGAGCGAGAGACACATCTCGGCTCCGGAACAGAAATACAGCACTTGTCAGTCAGCGGTGCGACCTATTTCTCCGTAAAAATGACGATCGCGCGCACGTTTCGCCATTCTCGATGCGAATATTATACTTGATCGTTGCTCGAGCGGCGAGCGTCGATTTCTCGAATGTGTGTGTTCCGCATGAAACAAAGAGGTATTTACGGGAATCCTCGGGGGGGATATCGCGTCGTTTATACGCGAATCAAGCGCGGACCAAGCGCGAGGCCCTTTGTTCGTGGCGCAGCTCACCGTGGCGAGACGCAGGTGCGATTCGCATCCGCGATGGAGCAAGGCGATAAAAAAAGGTCTACGGATACGATCGGTTGTCCATAGCGTTTGATAGCGATTGAGGGAAAGGCGCGGTTAGGCGTCTCTGTGTATTCTCTCGCGTCAGCCGCGATGGGCGCTTATGGGATCCAATTGAAATGCCGCGCGTGTCGCGATAACACTAAATTACCTCGACCGGTGCCATTAGCATTAATTGTCGTGACCGTTCAACCGCCCGTTATAATTCGCGCGCGCGCGAGCGTCGATAGTGGCGGATTCGCACGTCGTATGACGCGAATTAATACTTCGCGGAATGCGGAATCGTTCCCTTTCGGATTTCTTTCTCTCGGCGGCGCGACGTCGAGACGGTCGACTCTCGAGGAATAACCTGGTGAGGTTCTTTTTTTTAATTCGCTCTTGATTAACGCGTTATTTTATCGATCCTTCTAATGGGGATTACCGCGTTATCTGCACCTTACGCTTTTTTATTCGCGAGCTAATCAACGAGGACTCGGGGCGTTCCCAATTAAGGGAATAATTCACACGGGCTGTACGCAAAAATGATGAATATAATTCGCCTCTGCGCGATCGACGCGCGAAATAAAAATCGAAAGTCGGATTGAAAGGCTGAAGGATCTTTCCATGCGGCGGCACTGCCACATTCCGGTGTCCAGAATATCCAGAACTATCAGATTCTTAATCGCACCTGACAATGCGTCGCGTTTTATCAGATCTTCCGGCAAAAAGAAAAGAAGAAAATACTGCAGATAGCTGTTCGTCAAATTTCTCGCGCTTCCTCCCTCTCTCTTTCTCTTTCTTTCCGCTATCGTATCATCAAAGTCATTTGAGAGTCGTTCAACCGATCATTTATCGTGCGACAGAACGCAAGCACAGCTGCGGCGATAATTGATTCGCACTCGGTGAATTGAGGCGTACGAGAGAGAGAGAGAGAGAGAGAGAGAGAGAGAGAGAGAGAGAGAGAGAGAGAGAGAGAGAGAGAGAGAGAGAGAGGGCTTTATTGAGACCACCGCGGGCTTATCATTCGCCGTCGGCCGTTGATAGGTACGGAAATCCCGGCCCCTTCCCTCCCCCCTCGCCGCAGTCGATAGCATCCCGCACAAAAGTGTACCACACCAGCGCATCGGTGTATACGGAAGGACGAATGAATCTCGCGGTTCTCGCGGATTTTCCGTATTTCGTACCGGCGAGAGCCGGCGAGAGCCCGATACGCGCGGTAATGATTTCTTCGTGGGCGAAATTTTGACCGTGTGGGCGAAACAACCGACACGAGGAGATAATGCGATTTGCTGATTCGCGATTTCGCCCGTTCGGTTTGTCCGGATTCTCTGCTGTTCTGCCGACGAGAATCTGAATCGCGCCCCCGTATCCCCGCATCCGACGTCTCGCCCGGACTTTTAATTCACACGACGAGAATTGGTCGTTAACGAGAACGTATCCGCCGGATCTTGATTAACGGGACATTTAATCGCGGCGTTCATCAAACGGCGACTTTCTTTCGCCGATAGCATTCCCCGATAGCATCATCCGTATTTCCTTATCGAATTGCTAATTAGCGATTAATTGGGGACCCCGCGGTTTCAGAGAGTCCGCAGAAGCGAGCCGCATTAGCGCGGGAAGGAATCAGTTCGGCAGATTTCATGCGTCTTGCGAATCGCACAACTTTCGCGAACTCGTTACCTCGCGCTTGATATTTCATCGTGTTAAAGAGAGACACGTGAATGTGCGCGTCGCGCGTTTCAGCGTCAACCTCGATCACCGCGTGCGAGGTCGCGTCAATCGATCAATTATAACAGGACAGAGGTGAATCAGAGGCCGAGAGCCTCTCTCTCTCTCTCTCTCTCTCTCTCTCTCTCTCTCTCTCTCTCTCTCTCTCTCTCTCTCTCTATTGCCAGGTACATTTCGCGTTTCGCGATCACGCGCGCCATGTAAGATGTCGCGTACACGCCGCGGCGGTTAAAACGGCACTGAAGTGCTACGCCTACGTAATGACGTGTACCAGGCGCGCGTATTGCATCGATCCCGCGTATCCGCACCTCGCTTTGCCATCGAGCCGTAAAACGAGTGCGGCTAAATGTGCGGAGAGAATCGTCGTCGTCTCCGCGACGTGGCTATAACGGAAATAACGCGCCGCGCTTGATTTATACACAATACCGCCCGCTCTCGCGCCTTCGTCTTTCACGGGCGACCTGCTTCGCGCGAAACAACACCTTCGCGCGTTTTTTTCCGAAAAGTATCGCACGAACCTTCACCGCCGGTCGCGGGTGCTCCCCTCTCCCCCCCCCGCCCCGCCCCTCGCCGGCGGTAGTTTAGCCCCCCGTGGAAAATCTGCGCGTGGAAAAAAATCGGAAGTCGGCTCTCGTCACCGACGTGAGAGAGTTCCACGGCTGATTGCGAAGCGAGAAAATCCACCGCACCACACGCGGCGGATGCGAGTCTTCGTGAGATTGTCGAGACGCGAGCTTCTCAATGAACGACTCGAACAACGAACGGAGAGCATCTCACCTACGATCATCGGGTACATAGTAACTCAATCGACGGGAGAGAGAGAGAGAGAGAGAGAGAGAGAGAGAGAGAGAGAGAGAGAGAGAGAGAGAGAGAGGGAGAGAAATCGGCATACAGTTAATCGGTAAATCGTTCTTTTGTCTTTTTCTCCCTCCCTCTCTCTCTCTCTCTCTCTCTCTCTCTCTCTCTCTCTCTTTGTGCGTGTCTCCGCGACTCTCAATCATTATTGCTTGCTCGCTCGTGTTGCACCCGCTTTCCCGAGAGCTTTCCCCGCATGGCGCTTGTCAGAGTTGCCTCCTGATTTTAGCACCGAGAGAGAACAAGTGTGAGTCTCTCTTACACACATAAAGTTATTTCTTCTACATAGCTCATTTAATTCCGACATGAACATCCCCCGCTTACGAATCTCTCGCCACCGATCTCTCGCGATTTTCTCGTTGTGCTTTTTTTGTCGTAGTAAGTGTAGCGGCTTCCGTGTCTGTTTTGCTTGCAATCACGCTTGGGAAGTCAGTCGGAACTTCACGGTGTCCCGATCGTTGGAATTGTTTTCTGTCACCCAGACGGACTTGCATAATAAGGTATATCCGTAATTGTCACTCGCAGAACCGTCACGAATCGCAAGTAGATGTTAGTAGAGAAAACGATGTAACAGTCGTAATCAATATCGCGACTTTCTCTCTCTCTCTCTCTCTCTCTCTCTCTCTCTCTCTCTCTCTCGTGTCCGGTGTCGATAAATTCAATCAACTGTCTGAGAAAGAGAAGAGAAAAAAATTGGGTAAACGCCGTTGCACAAAGTGTGTGTGAGCTTGTGTGTGGAAACAATTAACGTAACTGATCGGCGCCTCGGAAAATGAAAAGTTCACAAGCCTCTCGGGACGTTTCAACGATCAACTCGCACTTGTATATGATCGAGAGGCCGGACGAAGCGATGACGTTTCGAAATTAGCTTCGAGCAGAGGCGAGCGGGGGAGGACGACTGCTTTGATGACCACGTAAATCTTGCAGGGCCGACTCTGGAGCCGCCGTTGCCCAGACGAAAGAAATATCCGGAGCTCGCTTACAAGACACACGAATTCATCACCGCGGCGGACGGCGGTGGCATCGATGCCGTCGACTCGAACGTCGTAGCTGACAAAGTCCGGGTATGATCGATCCTTCCATGTAGACTCGCGAGATCGCGAGATCGCGAGATCGATCGCGGAGGGTTCGCGTCGCGCGCTAATGCGCGTTAATGCGCGTTAGCTCAGCTAGTAGACGAGATACGCGCGACGCGTGTGTGTGTGTGAGAACACCCTCGACGACTGATCGGTAGCTTTGCACGGTGATCGTTGAGCATAACTCAACGGCGCGACGGGGGGCGGGGGCGGGGGCGGGGGCGGAGGTAGACACTCGAAATAACCGGGGTCGACCGACGAGCTCGAGATCGAAATTTCGACTCTCGCCGCAGGAGGTTACAGCGACATCGGCACTGCCACCGAGTCAGCTCAGCAAGGCGATATCTCGTATCAGCACCGAGTACCGGCTGCAGTTCGCTTGGCCTAGGAGACCGCAGTTGACGAATGGCGAGACCCTGGCGCCGGTTCCTGCGGCGGGTGGTCCTACGGGCACCGCGGGCCCGCCGAGGAAGTCTCTCAGCATGGGGGCTCTTAAACAGGGCATGGCGCCCAGCGGACCCGCTCCGGTTCATAAGAAGCGGCCCGGCGACTTCGATCACAAGCGCGACGGTACTTATTGTTTCAATGTAATAATCCACTTTTGCCACTGATCGATGGACTTTAACGAAATGACTCGATAAAAGAGCCGAAGGGGGGGGGGTATTCTTCATGGAGAAAAAGGTTCGGTGGAGCGGTTAACGTAACGCGTGAGCGAAGCGTGTCGGCATGCTGCTTGAAGGAAACGGAGAATCCCTAGTTCTTACTAGGGCCAAGGTCGATTCTAAGAACCAGGGAGCAGTTTCGCTTTCTTCGAGCGAAATGCGTTTCTTTCGTTCATCACCGAGCGTTAATTCACCGAGAGTGTGGAATCTCTGGGCCAACCGCATTATTCATAGTGCGCCTGCTTTGGTGCTTTTTCACAGGGGTCCAAGCGTCCGAACTGGAACCACTGGTGGGCGGTACCGGGACGGACACGATCGACGGCACGGTACCGGAAGGCGACGAGCGCGAGGAGGATCTGTCGGATTTGAAAATAACTTTCAGGTCAGATCGCCAGCCGGGGAGCAGGATGGGCGGGCAGAGTTTGTCGCGCGAAAGACAGAAAAACAAGAAAGAAAGAAAGAAAGAGAATCATACGGGAAGAGAAAACAGAAAATTCGGCTATCCGCGCGAGGAGGATGTAGTAGTAGTAGTAGTAGTAGTAGTAGTAGTAGTAGTAGTAGTAGTAGTAGTAGTAGTAGTAGTAGTAGTAGTAGTAGTAGTAGTGATAGTAGTAGTAGTAGTAGATAAGCGAGGAAGCAAAAAGAGAGCATCTACGACGATCCCCGATCCGGTGTGAAGACGCGTCGTAATCGCGGTAGTCGCGACGCGAGGATTACTACACACGCGATCATTACACGTGAGACTGACTTATTTGCAGGGGTAAAAGGTCCGATAGAACGGTGCGGATATCGGACGATAAGGGGCCGGGCAAATCGCAGGCGAAACCATTTCCCACGGCGGAGGTGATCGAGCTCCGGCGACTCGCTGACGAGTACAAGGTAATCCGTGGGAGACGCGATTCGTCTCGCCCCGATCGAATCGAAACTCTTGAAGGTTATCACTGCGCGCGCCAGCTCACCCCTCGATATTTCCCGCGTGTCCTCCGCGCACTCGGCGCGCGGTGCAAGTGTTCTCGATCGACCGGATCGGCTGCATTCGTGCATCCGCGAGCGAACTTCCGATCGCCAAGATCATGCATGTTTTGTGCCCTTTGTTCCGTTGTTGCGGTGGCTTTTACGACGACGACGACGACGACGACGAGCACGACCACGACCCACCGTCCAGGAATCCAATCGCGCCGCGTGTTGCGTGTTCCCCAAGTCGGACTACTTTATTCACTTCACGATATTCCACGATAATGCATTCAATCGCGTCTGATAACACGATCGATCTCGAAGGTGGACTTTCGATCATTCGGCTTGCCTCGCAAACTAGAAATTACACAGCACAGATGACTTGCGATCGTTGCGCAATCGCGCACGCTTAGCCCGTCTACGACTCTCACCCCGCGTGACTTCTCATCGGAACGTCAGAAACGAACGCCTTCGTGCATTTTCCGCGAGCTCGCAGTTCCGGAAGTTTTTCATTCTTTCCAGCCGCAAAGTCAGGGCACAAGTACTCCAGATTTCAAATTCTTCTCGTTCTTCGTCACCTGAGCAGGATATTCAGTGTCTTCCCAAGCATGATCTGTGTCCCCTCTCAGGCCGAGTTGCACCGACGCTCTCGATTAATCGAGTCCGGTTAGCTACATTCAATTAAGTACATTTAATGAGAGTCAATTCTTCGTGCTCGACCGGAAGTCTCGAAGCGTTAATCGTCGTTGGTGCGATTGGCCTCTCAGGTCGGTGCTCTCGTAGTCTGATCTTATATAGTATTTAAGACCGTCTCAAGCTCATCTTCAGATTCCTCGCAGCCACCGGAGCAAAAAATTATGGACCTTAGAAGCATTTTTTAGGGATGCCTTAGATTTTACGAAATAACGCTTTAACATGGAAAACTGATGTGGGCCTTAGAAGGATCTTTTAAGAGGATGCTTTACACATACAAAATCAAGTTTTGTTATAGAAAATTAATAAGATCTGAAGCGTGTGCTAAAATTCAGTCAGAGTTTAGTATTGTTTTAGCAGGTACGCTCTATTCGATTCTTTTAAAGATTTCTTAATTATACCGTAATTAAAAATAAATTTTATTAGCTTTATTAGCTGCTATATTCATTGGTCTCTTCCAAGGATTTTTCTAGTATTGCCTTCGTTTTGAAATGCAGTAAATTTTAATAAAAGCAGCAGCAGGATTTTCATGTATAAAGAATGATATATTTTATTGTATAAAGTATGCTATATTAAAAAAAAAAATTCTCGTTGTATACTAACAAGGTTATAAAAAAATAAAGAAATTACAGTCTAAATTTCTTGGAATGAAAAGAACGAATATTGCCTCACAAAACCCCCCAATATTAATATCTTCTTATAAGGCCGTATTAATATTGCCTTATAAGGCCCTGTTGATATTGCCTTATAAGACTCTCGACTAATATTGCTTTGTAAGGACCCGTTAAACCATTTGTTATACATCTTGCAGGGCCCTTGTCTTTCTATCCCTATTAGGGCCCGACTAATGTTAGGGAGAAATAATCATTAATTTTCCTACTCGGGCAATGTGCAACATTGCTGCGACCAAACGACTACAATTGTACGGCACAGCGAAGATGATCTTAGGGCGGTCTTGAACATCCGATCGGTCTATCAACACCGAGCCTTGGTGTGTCCCTTTAGAGCGTGTGTGTATGTGTGTGTGTGTGTGTGTGTGTGTATGTGTGTGTATCTGTGTGTGTGTGTGTATGGTCGTTACATCCAGCGGTAGATTAGGTCGCGACGATAACGACGTACAGCTGATACATTTTGGTTTGCATTAGCATCGTGACTGGGGTTGCGGTCTGGCGGCCGAGGACGAGGCTTCACTGTGGAAACGAGTCTCCAGTAACCATGCGCTCAACGCCCTATCCCTTGCCAGGCCAGTACACTACTCCATCATTTTCCGAGGAGCTCACTGTGGTCACGCGATCTCATCTCGTCGCGGTCGCAACTCGCAACCGGCCGGCCGCTCGCGGACGCGAATCATCCCCGTGCCATTGACGTGCCGCGGAGGTCTCCCGCCGTTCCCGCGAACTGGACACGTCGCGCAACGGCGACCGATCGGAAAAGACGAGCGCCGGCGTCGCCGCGGCAATGTCTCAAAGAGCAAAAACTGCCCGCTCGTATCCGCTCGTTCGAAATTCCGTCGCGTTCCAATGTGTGGAACATGCAATTTGGAACGTAGAGAAAACGAGGCATCCCTCGGTCTCTCTTCGGCAGGAGATCCATCCGGGGACGTACCCGAATTGCGAGACCGCGTTTCCGGGAACGCGTCGGGTTGATCTCTCGAATATTGTAACAGCACTTCGAACACCAAGCATTACTTTGGCACACCTTTTGAAGCAACACACGTGCTCGCAATTTTTTGTCGTCTCGAGGGGGTGTCTCGACGCGTCCAATGCGGATGCGCTTGAGCCGCTCGAAAGTATATTTTACCTCGGGCACATATACATACAAAACACACACGAGTGCGCCGTTCTTCGAAGTCGCACATGTTCGTTGTGCTCGTCGTGCTGCGATCGATTTAGGAACGTCGCCGTTCACCGATTTGCACCGGCTGAGCGAGAAGTCTAGGGTCCATTGAGGACTTGGTAAATGTGTTCGCACCTTCACACGGGTCCCGTCGTAGTTAGCCTTTTGTTTCTTCCTCGAGCGGCTGCGATAGTCGGCCTGACGATCACGCGAACGCATCGATCGGCTGTTTAGATCGGTCACCAAGGAGGAGAAGGAGAAGGAGAACACGAGGAAGGTAGCACCGATCGCCACGATGGTGACTATGCCGCCGGCAGGTCGACCGTCTTCGGTGCAGGCCAGACCGATTCATGGGATATTGCAGGACGACATCAAAGCGGTATGCGAGTGTTTCTCCGAGTAGTCGAAATCATCTTCGCGAAATCATCTCAGCATCGAGAAGTAATCGATTGTCTTCCGCGACATTCCGTGGAATATTTGCCGTTTCTCCCTTCGATCTCTACGATTATCCGCGACTTATTATCAGCGACGAATTACTCCAAGTACAGAGATAAAAAGAGATGTTAATATTACTAGCGTACCATCCGTTATGTTATGGTTTCTCGAGGAGGATGTGGGAACATTCTTATATTGTATCTCGTGTGAATTCTGTCGCAGGATAATGATCGAGCCATCGCTCGCGCAAGAAAGGATTTCTTGATCCGCCACCATCTCGATCGTACCACCGGTGTAGGTACGTGATTAATAGCTGAATTAACTCAACTAACAAGGAACATCCCATATTTTTTTTATCGGCAATGGCTCACGGCTTTAAGGAGCGAAACTGCCCCTCAAAGTTTCATCCCCTTTATGCCTATCTCGATAATTATTGCAGATAGGAAAAAACTTTTTAAACAAAAATTGTGCGGCATAAAAAACTGTACAATTTTTGTTTAAAAAGTTTTTCCCTATCTGCGATATCATAAAGGGAATGAAACTTGGAGGGGCAGTTTCATCCCTTAAACCTGAGCCATAAAATTGCCGATAAAAAAAACATGGGTCTCCTATTATTCTTGGCTACTCTGCAAATATGCCGAATTTCGTCGAAATCGGAGACACACACTTCGTGGATGTTCCTTGTAAGTAACCAAGTAACATCCGAAAACCCGACTTCGTTAAAAGCGACACAGTAAGGCGCCGGAAGGCGCGCTTGACTGTATCCGCTTCTGAGGTCGTCGAAGACAGCACGTAGTCCCGCGAAGTATGAATTCACGGAAAATTCGCTTTCTGCCAAGGTGATGGCGCACTGCTTCCCTCTCCGACGAGAGAGAAGCTGGAGCCCGTTATCCCACGACGGCGCGAGGACACCAAGGAGCATCGGGACGAGATCCAGCCGCGAACCAAGTCCAGTCCGAAGAACAGTCCGCGAACCGGACGCTCGCAGAGCCTCGGACCGACCGTGACCGATCGCAGATCGCCTAAACGTCAGCCTCCGCGTGCGCCGTCCGTCATGAAGGACGCCAAGGTAAGTCGCTGTTGCATCATCGGCGACACACACCACGAAATGAAGTACGAATAAATCACTTCAGTAACACTTTTTCCGTCGTCTTGCCGATTACTCGTGCGTCATTCCGTCCAAAGAATTCGAGTGGAAAAGTATGTCAGACACGAGAGAGAAGAGACTCTTGAGAAAGACATCCAAACGCTTTGTAATATCCGCGAAATTTCTCGGACCAATTAAGTCCGCTCGTCGGACAGAAGAAGTTTCGGAATCAAAGGGGAAGTATACCGGTCCGCGAAGGGAAGGAAAAAAAGAAAGAGAAGGAATCGGT